CGTATGAACCGTGCAGCACGGTGCTTCGTTTTCACAAAGAGATGAGTCTGTTTAGAGATCACAGGTTTCATTCTAACAAAAAAGAAGCTATCCAAGCCTGACCCTGGAATTGTTTTTTCACTGTAGGTTGGAGTCTCCAACTGATGCAAAACAGCCAGCCTCTCTTTGTTCGATTAAAGCGGCTGAGATTGCGGAAAAACAAACAATGATGAGATGAGTCTCACACATTTATGAAATTAACAAGGACCTGTCAGATTGTTCACCCCAGGACATTTCTGAAATCCAAAACGTAAGAAATCAGTTCTTTCTTTGTGGCGTGTTGACTGATGAAGGTGAACGGTTCACTCCATACACGAGATTCTAAGCCAAGGAGCGATGATGCCCTCTCGCCAAAGTGCGAAAAGGATTCGGGCGACGTTCCGAGCATCTGCGATGCCTGCAGCTTCTGAAGAGCGAGGATTGTTTGTCAATGTGCGTCCTCTACTTACCAAGTGCATGTGCTTTTACAGTTGTAGTCCACTGCCAAAACCTTACAAAAAGGAAGTCTTTTGCCTGACAATCATGCATCACCAAGCATTGTGCGCATATTACAATAGCTTTTCATTGTAGACAAATAATCCTTTTTGGATCCACAATTACACGCATATCAAATATATTCAACATAACAATATATGATTCATGTTCATTTGGCACCCTCTTGAGACGACGGCTGAGGGTCCAACCCGAATGCAGTCGCCCCAAATTGGGCACTCGCAGGAACTGGGCGATGCGACTCGAACTGGCACTCTCGAGTTTGTGGATGCGTGCGCGAAAAAGCTCCCAGTGGCGTTCTTGCTCCGTTCGTAGCGATGCCCTTTGTTCCCAGTAGCGTTCTTGTTCCCAATAGTAAGGCCAGGAGCCCGTTCGTAGCGTCCTCTACACACACCCCATTGATATGGCTGCGATGGGTGCGAGATGGGCGTGAGGGACCCCCACCTCGACGATCCTCGTCACCTGAAGCGACCCAGATAAACCCTCCGACCCAACAGCAAATGACCCTCGGTTTTAGGGTGCTTGACAGAACACATACCTTGCATTGCTATCACTTGGTACTCAAGTACCAACCTATCGGATTCGGTTCCCGATCACTATATAATATATATATATATATTGGGAATCGAGAGATCAATGATAGGTACCCTATAATTATCATCCTGTCCTATACTATACCATATTATACCTAACTATTGGTGATTGATCTGCATGAATCATTGCGCCATGAAAGGCCATGATCCCACTGTCTAAAGAACAAACACATCCTCATGAATCTCATGGCACCCAACGGCCCCACGCAGCACGAAGGATCCACCGTTCTCGCGACTGACGAATCGGCGACCGACAATGGTCGAGGGGTTTTAATCCTCTTGCTCCTAGTAGTACGGCCAGGAGCTCCTAGTAGCGTCCTTGCTCCTAGTAGCGATGCCAGGAGCCCCTAGTAGCTTCTTGTTCCTCTATTTGAGGAACCTAATAGCAATGGCCTCCAAGCTACTAGCGATGGGCCGACCTTGAGCATCATGGAGATCTTGCCCCGACCAGGCTTCAGGCCTGAGGGATAGACCTGCCGGGCGCAAGACATCTACATTTGGCTTAGGCATTGCCCGTGACAGCCCGTTGTTCATTAAAATACATGAAGAAGAAAGAAGCGGATATCTCAAGCTGCTGTTTCCTTCCACACCCGGAACTTTCCACATTCTGTGATCTATATTGTTCAAAAGGGTCAATTCTTAAGTTCGGATGTCAACGAGCGGTTTTTGGGACACTTCATCGGATGTAGAACGATGGCCCATGTCATAAAAAGATGCGCCCACACAATTACCTTGCTTGGCCAGCCTCTATGTCAATTCGGGTGAACCTGTTCAAAGAAGCGCGTTCGCACTCGGCGGAACTTTTTTCTACGAAGCTTCATCCTGCAAAATCTGAATGGCGCACAAATCCGCCATGCGGCCATTCGTTGGACACTCGACATATGATGAAGTCTGTATAGAAAGTATGTGGCAATCTCAGCTGAGGATTCAAAGGAGGTTTTTACAATCCCTGATATATTTTGTGGTATCATTGCCGAAACTCTAGATTGATGCAAAGAAGACTCACCTGATTAAGAGGAATCACCTTCTGAACCAATTTGGGCACCAAATCCCCAGCTTCTACCAGCAAATGGTGCTGGCCACCACCTTGAGGTCCAGATGGGCGTCTTTTGAGTCGGGTGTTTTAACCAGAGCCTATGCCACGAGACTGGACTCGTGCACCGAAGTTTTTCACTTCTTCCGGAAGGAATTTTTTCATTCTCAAGAAACTGAAACCAACCCACACAACCCCATTTCTGGGCCAAAAACATCCAAAAGCTATACTCTCTGCGCCTGCGAGGACCGCAGAAGGAAAGAGTCAGCCATGCAGCGTGCTCCAGATTCGAGTCAGCCAATGACCAGCAAGTTGAATTGCCAATTGAAAACAATCGAATTTTAAGCCACCTCGAACAGTTAAGTTATATATATAAGGGAAGGGCCTTCAACAAGAGTCTGGTCCAGGAGTTGCTTTCAGCATGGGAAGCAAAAGGAAACCTTTATCAGTTTTCTTTTGAATTCCAGCCTTGCTGAACAGGCATCAAAACAAGATGGAACCCACGAGCCCGAATGCAACACGTACTCAAAAACAAACACCTAAAACATTTTTGACACTCTTGTAGGAGACTCTTGTGGGGAAATCTTGCAGGACACTCTTGTCGGCCATTTTTGTGGGACACTTTTGCGGGACACTCTTGTGGGACACTCTTGTTTGTCACTCTTGTGGGACACTCTTGTATGACACTCACTCTTGCGGGGCACTCTTCCGGAACACTCTTATAGGACACTGTTGTGTGTCACTCTTGTAGGACATTCTTGTGCGTCGCTCTTGTGAGACACTCTCGTAGGACACTCTTGTGGGGCACTCTTGCGGAACACTCTTCTGGCACTCGTCGGACACTCTTGTGGAACACTCGTGGGACAATCTTGTAGGACACTCTTGTGGGACACCCTTGTATGTCACTCTTGTGGGGCACTCTTGGGCAATCTTGTGGAACACTGGTGCGGAAGACTCTTGTAGGACACTTTTGTGGGACACTCTTGTAGGAAACTCTCGTGGGACACTCTTGTGGGACGCGCTTGTAGGACACACTCGTGGGACATCCTTGCAAGACACTCTTGTGGGACACTCTTGGAGGACACTTTTGTGGGGCACTCTTGCGAAACACTCTTGTAGGACACTTTTGCGAACACTCTTGTAATAGGACACTTAGGACACTCTTGTGGGACACTCTTGTAGGACACTCTTGTAGGCCACTCTCGTAGGACACTCTTGTGGGACACTCTTGTTAGCCACTCTTGGGAAACACTCTGGTATGACACTCACTCTTGCGGGGCACTCTTGCAGAACACTCTTGTAGGACACTCTTGTACGACACTCTGGTGGGAAACTCTGGTACGACACTCTTGTCTGGCACTCTTGCGGAACACTCTTGTGGGACACTCTTGTTTGTCACTCTTGTGGGAGACTCTGGTAGGACACTCTGCGGAACAGTCTTGTAGGACACTCTTGTGGGACACCAAATTGTATGTCACTCTTGTGGAACGTGCTCGTAGGACACTCTGGGCAGACACTGTTGTACTTCAAGTCTGCAAAACGAGCGTTACGTACGAGACCTCTTCCGCAGTTCACGCCCGCTCACACGCCAATCCCAATGTCGCAGCGACATTCACCTCCACCACAACTCGCAACCTCGCGATTCCCTGTGCCTGCCACGGAAATTTGCTCGTCCACACCTCCAACGCGCACAAGGCACAAATGCCACGAAATGTGATCTCCGCCACACCTCGCAACCTCACGATTCCCTCCGCCTGCCACGAAAATTGCACTTCCACACCTCAAAGCCCGCAGGAAGTACTGCACCTGCCACGGAAAGTGACAACATTATATTATATCATGTGAGCTTCAACAAAATTTGCACCACACCACACGTTTGGAATGATTTCGACACGTTCTGAGCACATTCCCATCCACCAAAAACGCCATTTCAGCTGAGACTTGTCACGAAAGCACAGCCTCGATGGAACACCCTGAAACGCAAATCCCAATGTCACAGCCACGAAGGTGGTATTTTGGGGGTGTTCCAAACGCCAACCCCACTGCGGATCTCACAAAACGCTGCGCCTGCGCAGTGAAATCATCCTCCACACTTCAACATCTTACGTTTCCACACCTTTCCTCGCTATTTCACACGAATCTGACACGTCGCGCTTCCATGAAAAACCCTCTCCAAAAGCTTCCCCCTTGCAGCGCCTAAGCGCCCTATACCGCGAACACACGCAAACGGTTGCAAACGGTTGCGAACGGTTGTGAAAGCTGAGACAACGAGTCGTGAACAACGCTCTACCCCGAGACCCCCAGAGTTCATGAGAACCCTTCGCTACGCATTCGGGAAAAGGATACCAAAGGAACTCAGTGCTTCAGTGATGAGTTTTCTTGCAAGGGGACAAACCCCAAAACAAGTCATAGAATTACAAATCAATTCCAGAGTGCCGGCGACAAATGGTTTTTGCTAGTACATTGATACAAATGTAGTAAGAACTGCGAATCAAGGGAATCTGCCTAGAGTCGGGCATTTTCCAAACACCATAACCACCACCACTTGTATGAAAGAAAAACAGGGGAAAAGAACAAACAGTAAAGCAAAGTAAACAAAGGACTTCTGGGGAGAACAAGCTGCTTGTCTTTCCAACCCGCAAAACGATTTCTCAAACAATTCCAGCACCTGGAATTGCCTGGAATAATGCTGAGAAAACATTCTATTGTTCCACTTGACAAATCAAGATCCTAGATTAGTGAATGTGCAACACGACATGACTTCTTGTTTCGGAAGCTGAAGCAAGGTTCAAAGCAGGGCATGGCCGTGCCGCCGAAACAACAATTGTGTGTACGAAAGCAACAGGAAATCGAGGGTCCAAACCTGTAGCACAATTGCCATGCTGCCCTGCCAACAATTCAACCTGTGAGAGCATGCACTGGCAGCAGAATTCAGCTCTGGAGTCAAGCACCTGCCAGTAGAAAGAGTGAACTCCTTGTGACTCACTGCCAGTAGGGACATCTAAAGTGAAAACTTTGAAGAAGGAAAACTCACCCAAACCCATTGGGCCACTTCTCCCTATTCCAATGCACACTCACATGACTATCCATTGCCTTTTGATTTTTGGACGTTCGTGCCGGACGTCCAAATGGCCTGGAGAGAGCAGGGATCTTGTGGTGTACTCTCGTGACACGGAAACACGGTCAGCTTGTCTATGGACTAGGTTGTACTTCCGTATCTGGAAGTTCCAGCAAGTTGACAAACAATTTGATCAGGGTGGTGATGTTTTTTTCTGATCATTGTAGATGGCGTGCACAGTGCCCAACAAACAAGGTCTGTCCTGCTCCTTTGGGCTGGACTGAGCGAACGGATCGACCGCCTGGCAGTGTCTGTGAGGCAGCATGTCTTGATGCCAGCACAAGGAGCACAACTTGTGTGTCTGCCCCTGTTCAACACGCTGGTGAATTAGTGCCATAATGTGCCAACCTGCCAATTCCTCCAATGATTTCAACTCTCAGTCATTGATGATCCAACGAAGAACCAAGTTCTGCGTATCATCTCAATAGTGGTCCTTCACAGACTTGCAATGTGATTTGCCTGAACGAATATCTGAAAGTATCTCTTCCCTTGCTGCCCGAAGGTTCTTGGTTTTACCACTTGGACCCATGTTGACCCCCTTCAGCTCCCGCCTCTCAGTCAGCCATCAGTGCAGCTCGTTCAGCCTCAGCCTGAGCCAAGCGATCTTGGGCACGAAGCACCTGGCGCGATCCCGATCCCAAGGTTCAGAACCGGATGGACATAGCCCTCCAATGGAACACCCTAACCGGTCAGTGGTAGTAAATATAAAGGGACACAAAAAGTCACTGTTCATAAAGGGACATATCGGCTTTGTCAGGTGAGGAACAAAATAACATCTGAGTCTATACAGGATGTAGTAGGCATGATGAAACATCGATCAGGCCCCCCGAAAGAGAAAAGCAACGGTGAAAGGCCGGAGATGGACTGGATTGAAAGGACTTCCCACAAACGTGTCACAACATGGGACAACAAAGAAAGAACATATACACATGTTTCTAACGTGCAAAGTATGTTGCATTTGTTGCATTTGTGTTCTATGCCACCCAAAAAAGAAGAGATGCCAGGCAACTTGCCCTTGTTTTTCTTGCTTCCGGATCTCCGGTTGGTGTTGTTTTTGTATCCCCACATATCCTTCTGCGATCTTCTGCGAGCCTCTCACAACACAGGATACAGCAAATGGAGTAGATGCATACAGTATGTCCATAGTTCTTCCCAGAACCTAGCCAATCCCAGAACCTGCCTCGCAGAGCAGGCTTTGTGAACACCATTGAAAGTATCTGAACTCTGAACGCTAGTAAGTAGCGATGGCCTCCAACCTACTAGCTTCTTGCTACTACTACTCCAAGCCGCTAATCAAACGCCATCTCAGGCCCCCGAATGAACCCCCCCGTTCTCCGAATGCCCCGAATCCTCCCGTCATTCGAAACGCCGAGTCGTCACAAAGCATGTCGAGACGTCACGCGACTCGTTCGTTCCACAAAGCATGGCAAAGCTGTTCACTTGTAGATTTACTTGGAACCCACCGGTCTTTCTGGAAAAGAACACATCCAAAGATCCCAAAGGAATCCAAATGACACAGAACTGATCTGAGTTTAAGTCGGATATAGTTGGTTTATGTATTATGTATATGTTGGTTGTTGGTTTACATAATTGGCTCGATATTGGCTTGATGGTCTGCAGTGACTGGCTCCCGACCGGGAGCCTCCTCAGCTTGATCACGTGACACAGCATCAATGCGACTGGCCCTTGGCCAAGACATCGACTGACATCAACAGCATTGAATCCAGGCCATTCATGAGAAACTGACCAGCTTAGCTGAAAACAGCCATCTAGACAGATCTAGACACCTACAGACTCCAAACACTAGCAGCCAAAACTCCCATTGCTAAGTTTATACTGCAAGAAAGATCCTGCAGGAATGCAGTACAAGCGTATGCGTCTTGCTTGATGGGGCAAGTGTGATCAAATATCCGAAATATCCACAACATTCATCACAGCACACTTTCATTGCAACATACCAACCATTCTTGCCTGTTTTGCTGGTACACACGATAGCATCGTTCAGCCTGCCGCGCCAAAGGTGCATGCTAAATGAATGCCATACCATACTTGCAATATCTTGCAATACTTTTTTTTGGTGCTTCAAATGAGAAAAAGCAAGAGCAAAACAGCAACAAAGGATTCTTTAGCAAAAGTGCAAGGTCCCTACAGACCCAAGCAAAATTGAACAAACAAATGGCTGCTTGCTGGTGTTTGGAAGAATGAGCGTCGACAGTGGACATTGAAAGATTCAAGACGTGGTTCTTCGGTGTCCTTCTCCTTCTGCTCGTTAGTTCTCTTAGCATGCTGTTTTTGCTTTGATTGATCTCGGCGTTTCGCTTGGAATGTTGTTTTTCATTGTATTGGTTATTGGTTAATTGGTTTGTTTTTTTTTGCAGCGCATTCACTGTTCTGTTCAGGAGGCTGCAAATGGCATACCGTACAGCTTTGCGCTCAAAAGGACATCAGTTTCGAGATTCGGATCTGTTGTATGTTTACTGTCATTGTTTTTGTGCTTCCAAGGTTCCAATATTGCTACTTGAGTTCAAGATAATCAACACCATCCATCAAATTGACATTAGTGTGATTCCAAATCTCCTGTCAACCTTTTTTGTGCAAAGCATCGCTCGTGAAAGCATGTTGACGTCCTCTTGTTGGTTGGAACTGACCCTCAACTCCTTAGTTTTTTCTGGAGTTATAACCACAAATTGGTGATGGATTGTCCGACTATACTGCAGTCATATGTTACAATCGATAGGGCCATGATCGCCGGCTGATGCTGATCGCGTGGGCCTTTTCCAAAGTCTCCGGGCGGAACGTGGTGAGGATGACTTGCGAGGTCCTCGTGAGGGCGATCGCGGCCAAGAATCGATTTGCTGGTGTTGCTACCAATCCCAAGCAAGATCGAGCAAGGGCTTCTTCAAGCTCTAAATTCTAAAATACTGTTTGCCACATGTGAGGTCTTTGGCGGCAACCTGCATCCTTTTGGGAATTCTGCAACCACACTCACAGTTTCCACCTGGCAGTTTTCGCCACCAAATTGGCCAAAGCAGATCGATAGGATGCATCGAGCGCGGCATCTACTTCATCAAGCAGGTAGAATGGAGCAGGCCTCATCAATCAACAACTCGCCAAGTGGTGGAAGTCCCTCCGAACTATGGAAGGCCACAGTCAGGTCTTGACCAGCAGCTATGACATGCTGTGACACATCGTCACCTTGCAGACTGGTACCTCTGGTACTCTTGGTCCCTACAGATTTCGGTAATTACCTGAGTTCCAGACTCCAGTCGCTGAATAGCAAACACCAGGCTGAGGGCCACAACCTATACAGCGAGCGAAAGGAAGGACTCGGTCGAGTGCCAGCGACTAATGCCCGGATCTGTCAAGACATGTCAAGACCGTTTGATGAAACTGACTGATACATGCAAGGCATTCGATTTGCAACATGCCATGTAGCTCCGATTCATGCGGCTCAATGTAGCAACCATGGTGTTAATTGATTCGACAACTTGGCACTTCAATTCGACACCTAGCAAAGCACCCCAGTCCGTGTACTCTTCTTGGAACCCATGGTTTTGACATGTTTTGACTGGTACATCTCACACCAGTGCTTGCCGCAAAAAACAAGATGTTGCAGGATCAGGATCACTTCGCCACTATTGCATACTGTTCAGCAGCATGGTTTCACCACTTTGGAGCGTGCTTCCAAACTGTGTTACGACGATGTCTGATTACACATTTCGTGTTCTCCGGACGATGTGCCAGTCGAGCACGCCACCGGTGTATCGGTTGATGGGTTCGGTGCGATGTGCGATGTGGTGCGATGGGTGTATCGGTGCAAACGTGTTTTGAGGGTAGAGTAGAAACATGTTTGTACACTGAAACAGTTCATTCTTGATCAAGACACACCGCCGTTGTCCAATCTTCTCACCTTGTGAAATCATGGGTCCTCTAAAATGATGTTCAACTCACCGGCTCAACTTGAGCATCCAAAGCCCAAGCATCGGGCCGTCTTCTGCCCGCCGGACAGCTGGTTCATGGTCAAGAAGGATGTGGCTTGACCCGTGAATGACACCTGACCATAAAGCAGCTCTGCAGATGCATTGAGAATTTGACACCCATGATCATCCATGCACTTGGCCAGTGCATTTTGGCCCACAAACTGCACAAGGGAGAAGAGGGGCACTGCTTGCACTACCTGCTTACCTGCCTACCTATCCAGGAAAGCGCTAGTGGGACAAACAGGATCAGTCGGCTAAAGGCCTGGACACCACCGCGCCAAAGGACGAGAAAACACTGTCTGAAACGATCGAAACACAGGTTACCGTCAAACCCAAAACAAGATTGCTTGTGCAACAAAAGGTGCCAGTGACAAAACAAATTGATCTAAGTTGAATTTCGCACAAATTCCTGGAAAATAAGTTCAACTTGCCCATTTAAGGTTTGCACGTCCAATCAACTCGGTGCTTGGCCACAAATTACCAAACAAAATCACACACACAACACGATACATCAATCCCATGTTTTGATCAGCAAAGAGAACTGCTAGGCTATACTCAAAAAATGTTCGCCAAGTCTATCAAAGACGTAAATATACTTACCCTACATTACTCTTGACATGTTCAAAGGTGTGAATAGACGTATCACGTGTATATACATATAGAGCATGGCTCATGGCCACATCACGTCAAACCATGCAAGCGCACCTCGATGCGGACACCCACGATGTCTCCCAAGGAAGCCTGCGACGACCAAAACACTTGGTGTGGCGTTCGTCTCTGCAAGAGTTACCTGCCAGTTCATCACTTCTGAACCGTCTTCGTCTGACGGCGACGGAGTTCTCCCGGTTCTCATCCGCGCGGGTCGCCTCTTGGCTGCCGTCAGTATCACCGGTCATCTCCACGTCTCGATCGCGACGGAGCTGCTTTAGCCTCGTCTCGTGCGGTGTGTGTGTGTGTGTACCCCTTGGAATCATAGGGATCCTCTTGGGGCAGGAGCACCATTGCAAGTCTCCTGCCAACGAAGACACTTGCAATTGGTGGTGATACCAACCTGATCAGTCTGGCATACCTGCAGTGATGACTTGACACTACCTCTTGGGCCCCGTTGTTACTAGAACAAGTCACCACCCTTTGCATCGGTTTGAGCTCTGCAGACAAGTACGGATCGTCGTCACCTTGTCGTCGAGTTCGTGACCGTTGTTCCTTTTGACCTGGTACCCTTAGGCATTCACACCTAGGTGGGCGTGTGGCATGTGGCCTTCAGATCCGTACGTAAGTCAATAAGTGTGTGTGTGTTGTGTCGTGGGTGACAAGTGGTGCATATATATATATATATCTTCTAGTTGGCATGATTGGATTCTGAAAACTTTATATGGGGAATGGTTCTACTTCATTTGCATCGCCATCGCAGTACTAATTCCAACACATGCGCCAACAATGTTTCAAGTCCGTCGGTAGTCCATAAAGCATCAAAATGTATGAATTACACCACCGTAGACCCCAAACAATTTGTGTTTTTCAAAATCGAAACTAGAGCCTGCGACGTCCAGAGCTGGGAGACAAATGTAAAGGATTGCAAGGCAGAGACGGACACAGCAGTACAGAGCGGGCAGACACATCTTAAGAAAGAATTGAGAAGCCCTAGCAGTAAACCTTTTGGGGAATCATTCTTCAAGCGCGAACATGTCAGCGGGGAGCTGACCACGTGAGGACAAGAAACAAAAGCATGAGGAGCGAAGGATGTGACATGAAATTGATTTTTGGTGCCTGACGTATGCCCTCCGCCCCAACTGAACAGAGAGATCGCTGCCACGCCGCCGTAATCCAATCTGGTCATTCATCGAACTGTTGCCCGAAAAGAAACAAAGCTGAGAGAGTTACACAGTGTGGCAGGAATGCAATCCCTGAGACAGTCACGCACCCCTTGCAAAGGAGCAAGAACCTTTCACAGGCGAACCTGTTCCAGCGGACAGGGCAGAAAACAGCAGTGCAGGCACCAAACCTGAAAGACAAAAAAGAAAGAAATCACATGGGAGACAAATGAATAGAAATGCTACATGGCCAGCGGAAAAGGGCGGCAGCACCAGTGACAGACCCTGGAAACAAATGAATAGACATGTTGCATGCCCAGCGGAAAAGGGCGGACACCAGCAGTGACAGACCTGGAAAACAATGAATAGAAATGTTGCATCGCCAGCGGAAAAGGGCAGACACCAACAGTGACAGACCTGGGAGACTAATGAATAGAAATGCTGCATGGCCGACGAAAAGGGCGGACACCAGCAGTGACAGACCTGGGAGACAAATGAATAGAAATGCTACATGGCCAACGGAAAAGGGCCGACAGCAGCAGTTGCGGACCTGGGAAACACATGAATAGAAATGCTTCATGGCCAACGGACAAGGGCGGACACCACCAGTGACAGACCTGAAAGACAAATGAATAGAAATGCTACATGGCACCAGCAGTGACGGACCTGGGACACAAATGAATAGAAATGCTTCATGGCCAATAGACAAGGACACACCAGTGACAGACCTGGGAGACAAATGAATAGAAATGCTACATGGCCAACGGAAAAGGGCGGACACCAGCAGTGACAGACCTGCGAGACAAATGAATAGAAACAGCGGAAAAGGGCGGACACCGCCAGTGACAAGCCTGGGGGACAAATGAATAGAAATGCTGCATGGGGCGGAAATTAGCAGTGACAGGCATGGGAGACAAATGAATAGAAACAGCGGAAAAGGGCGGACACCACCAGTGACAGACATGGGAGACAGACGAACAGAAATGTTGCATCGCCAGCGGAAAAGGGCGGACACCAGCAGTGACAGACCTGGGAGGCAAATGAATAGAAATGCTGCATGGCCAACGGAAAGGGGGCGGACAACGTCAGTGACAAGACCTGGGAGACAAATGAATAGAGAAATGCTACATGGCCAGCGTCCAAGGGCGGACACCACCAGTGACAGACCTGGGAGATGAACAGAAATGCTATATGACCAACGGAAAAGGACGGACACCAGCAGTGCAGGCTGGGAGACAAACGAATAGAAATGCTACGTGGCCAGCAGAAAGAGGCGGACACCAGCAGTGACAAACCTGGGAGACACATGAATAGAAATGCTACATGGCCAGCGCTTAAGGGCGGACACCAGCAGTGACAGATGTGGCGGACAAATCCAGCAGGAAAGGGCCAGTGACAGGCCTGGGAGACAAATGAACAGAAATACTGCATGGCCAGCCGAAAAGGGCGGACATTAGCAATGACACACCTGGGAGACAAATGAAAAGAAATGCTACACGACCAGCGGAAAAGGGCGGACACCACCAGTGACAGACCTGGGAGACACATGAATAGAAATGCTGCATGGCCAGCGGAAAAGGGCGGACCAGCAGTGACAGACCTGGGAGACGGATGAATAGAAATGTTACATGGCCAGTGGAAATGGGCGGACACCAGCAGTGACACAAAGGGCGGACAGGAAAGAATTGTAAACTGTTTGGGGAAAAAGTGGGAGACAAGCCGCCCGAAACCCCACTACAAGCACCCAGCCCGGGAGACAAATGAAAAGAAGTGGGAGACAAATAAGAGGAAGTGGGGGACAAGCCGCCCTGGAACCCACAAGCAGAAAAGAAGTAGGAGACAAATGAAAGGAAGTGGGAGACAAGCCGGCCGGAAACCCGACCACAAGCACCCAGCCTGGGAGACAAATGAAAGGAAGTGGGAGACAAGCCACCCGGGAACCCGACTACAAGCACCCAGCCTGGGAGACAAATGAAAAGAACTGGGAGACAAATGAAAAGAAGTGGGAGACAAGTGAAAGGAAGTGGGAGACAAGCCGGCCGGGAACCCGACCAGACCATCCAGCACCCCAAGGCGACCATTCTTTAAAGCATTGAGAACCCCTAACAGTAAACTGTTTGGGGAATAAACTCATATAAATACGTGTTGTGCATACTGACCTTGATCTTTTATTCCATCTCCATGCGGTCTTGCAAGTCCTTGAACATATGAGGTCATTTCCAGGCCAAAACTATCAAACATGTTGGGTTCGTTCGACACATCGCAAAGTACATCAAAATACAACCACACTGTACACCGATGTATACTGCACATTCAGCTCTTGTGTTGCAACATCCCTGTCAGAAAGCAAAGGCCCTGCGATGCCCTGCGGCTCTGCATCAGAAAAAATACCAAAAATGACACACAATCAAACAAAAACGGTTGTTCTTCTTTCGGTGTTTTTAGAAACGGTTGTTCTTGCACACCCAGCGGCTTCCCAGCGCCTCCGGGCACCATCTCACCAAAGACCTGAGGTGTCTCACGGACCGTGTCCCCGGAGCCTCAAATGACTCCATTGTAGGGGCAACAAAGTGCTTTGGGCAACATGTTTTGGGCAATAAAACCTTGTGTGGATAAATGGTGTATACTTCAATACTTCCGAAAGACTTCTCTAAAGGTGGAGGAAAATGAATGAACATGACGAAGCCTGGTATACCCTGGTTGGTTGCCAAGTTTCATGGATGGTCCAGTTGGTGGAAGTTGGGGTCGCGGAGCCGCTGAGCCCAGAGACTTGGAGAAAACTCGGTGGAATGCGTGGAGAAAACTCGTCTACCAACAGGAAGCAAATGTGATGTCAGGTGTACAGGTTTCATCACCTGGGATGTCAGTCGGATGGGCTTCATTGACATCCTGGGATGCTTGGACAGTTCCAGGGACCTCGATCGATGCTGCCTGACCCGTCACCGCCTGTTGGAAATGGCCGTTCACCCGTCGGAGAGTCTCCAGCACCTGATGGCGATGCCGGCATTGGGATGGGCGCGATGTCAGGCGGGGATGAATCACAGCGAACCAAACATGGCATTGGGATGAATCGGACACGCGGGTTGAAAGTTACGTTTGTCACTCTCAGAGCTCTTCTGACATCGAAGCTGTTTGTGCACATGTAATACAAGTCATTGGGTCAGTCACGCTTGATCCACAGAATTGAAACAGCAGTTGATATCCTGGAAATGAGATGGGTAAGCTTAGATAAGGATTTTGTATGAGTAAGCAGGCATTACCTGAGCGTCCTGCAGCATGCTGCTTTTGAGCATCGATTTGCTGAATGGCCTTCCATGTGGGCAAATTGTACCCGGAACAGATACCGATCACGGGTTGGCTGAGGTGAGAAGCACCAGTCTCTAAACATCATGTTAACATATGTTAACATTGTACTCCCCATTTCGTGTATTCCACGTGTATATCACGAGAGGGCACCGAGTAGTGTCGAGTCTGACTCTTGTGTGCAAGATCGTGTCTGTGACGCTCGAAACATGATAACACACCCCCACACGGCAGTGCGTTTGCAATATGTTTGCAAAAAGGATTAAAATTATACCAGCATAGACCCCAAACAGCTTCAAAACGATTCGTTTAGACCAATATTAGTCAAAAAAGGATTTCTTGGTACGCCTTAATTACCTTCACCCCAAGAGCAAACTGCTTCATCAATGATTTTTTGTCGGCATTGACATCGCTATTTGTTCGGCCACACTCCTCTCCAGTAAACCGGGCCACAGAGACCAGCCACAGAATTCAGGGGCACGGCCAGGACAAGGACAAGAGGAGGACAAGACCCGGACACAGAGCCAGGCCACAGAGGACAAGGCCCAGCCACAGAGCCCAGCCACAAACGACAGGAGGAGGACAAGGCCTGGACACAGAGCCGCGGCCAGTGAGTGTGGCCAGCTCCTTTTTTCTAAGATAGAACCCCAACAGTAAACTGTTTGGGGAAAATGCGCCTATAACTATATGTTGTCGTTATATTTGTGGAAGTAATTACTTGAGGGGAAGGGGGAAGGACGACCAAACGTTGTTTCAATGACATTCTTGGTATGATCACACAGTTTTCATCAAGAGCGACTATGTTGGTACAAACACTGATAGACTCGGTCCCAGTGTGTCAACATTTGTCAACATCCAATCAGAATCGGTGCAGGTCCACGAGGGAAATGTTTTTTCAGCGTCAGCAAGCACAGACAAATCGAAAAGGCGCGAGTGAAGAGGTCCAACAGATCCAAGTACAAACAAATCGAAAACCGACAAAAATGGGTTCAGTCTAGCCACACGAATCACGCAGACTGAGACTGATCACACGAAGACGAGGACGAAGAAGAAGCAGAAGCAAACAAAAAAAGACAAACAAACAACCATATTCAAAAAAAGTGGGAAAGAGAAGAAGTGAGAAATACATCGACACATGAACCTGAAAAAGAACAAGCAGCTCCTTAAAGATTCACTATAAACAAACATAAACAAACTACAACATATAACATATATATATATATACAATATATATATATATATGTGTCAGCTCACTCTGTTTTCAGGATTGCCGGCTCAGATCGACGTTCCGCCTCCTCGGGTGGGAGTGGTGGGCCACTTGAGCCTCAACTACGTTTGCCAGACACATTGCGTCGGACGCCGGCTTCGACTTCATATACACATACTGTATCATGCACATGTTCGTCAACGTGGCATCATCTAGAACGAGCTAATCCGGACGAACACCATTACTCAACTCCCAAGCGCACCCCCCACACACCACATCTTCCAACGCGCGTGCGCGTTGGAGCGCATCGTCGAAGCGCATCACCGTCCCCTTCCCTCCTTGACCGAAGATGCATCGAATGTGCAAAGACACGCGCGCATGCCACGCTCATTTCCCCCCCAGTGGCCCTGCAGGTATCTGGACACATCGCAAATACCACGCAAAAATTGGGGCGTGACATCAAAAACACCTCTGGAATATCTTCAACCATCTTCAACCTCATTGGTCAGTCGCGGCTGTTTTGCTCTCAAGCACTCAAGGTTGATTCAATGCTAGTGGGTGCTTTTTATGCCCTGCTTACGCTGGCAAGCAATCAGCTAAAAGCAAGTGGCCATGCCTCTGCGATAGCGGACTCTCCTGCATCAATGTCCTGGAAGGGTGCACGAGAGAGCACAAGTACAGCCAAATGGCCTCCTACCCAATAGCAAAAGGAACCTATATAATAGCAATTGCCCCCTACTAGCGATGGCCTCCAACCTAATAGCAATGGCCCCCTACTAGCGATGTCCTCCAACCTAATAGCGATGGCCTCCAACCTAATTGGCGCGCAGCAACTAATCATGAGGCATTTCTGTTGGTATTTCATTGGATGCCCTCTGTCTGCCATCTTGACAACTGGGATTCGATGGCTGTAGCGCTGCTTCGCTTTGCCAAGGACCCTGTGAAACATGGGCATCGTGTCAGCTGGACAAATAAAACGAGATCTTTGATATTGTATTATTTCTATTATTATTCTAATAGCTTCTTGTTACTACTAGTAAGGCACTTGTTCCTACTAGCGATGCACTTGTTCCTAGTAGCGAAAATGTGTTCTTCTATTATGTGTTCTTCTTCGACAGTCTAAGAAAGTGATGTCCGGAGCTTACCTCCTTTCGGTTTCGGAGGTCTACCAGCTGGACCGAGAAATTCTCATACCTGGCCGAAAAGGAAGATCCTTTGTTTTTCCGAAAGATGCTGAGATACCAGCACCAACCCCTTCAGCAAAAAGACATATCATAGGCTCAATTGGGGTACGGGACATATAACTTACATACAACACAACCACACCAACAAGAAAAAAAGGCCCTTAGACCTGTGGTTGTGAGAATCTCTCTCGTAATTAATTGCACGTGAATTTCAACAAACAGGTTCAATCCTAACACGTGAATGTTTATTTGGTTTGTCAGGAATCTTTTGGAAATGCATCGCTGTGTTTGATGCCCTCGGCTTCTCATCTTCTTCATGTTGACACCCACTCGCAATGGGCTCGAAAAGAAGCGTGATGCCATGTTGATGGGCTCGAGGTTAAAGTTGGGAACATCTTTAGTGTATTTCGAGGTGTTGAAGCATGTTGAAGCATCTTCCAGAATTCACCGCTTGGATCTTATGGGTTTGTACAATGGGAACCTGAAGGTCTACAGTTTAAAGCTGTCCATTTCGCGCTTCAAGATCTTTCAAGCGTTGTTCGTATTCAGGGGCACCGGAAACCAAGGAAGTAGAATTCTCCAGACTGCCAGGCCATCACTTCTAGGTTGGAGGCCATCGCTAGTAGGTTCTTCCTTTTGTTTCGGCTCGGCGCGAGGCGCTTATCGCTCATGGTGTCCGGACTGTTCCACCGCTTTGCGATTCACGTGCTGGAAGGCCTGGAATCTCGAACTCGATTCGATGCTGTGTCGGATCATTAGAGAAACATCTGGGACGTTTGAGTCATTATGGACATCTTGCTACATAATCAAAGTCAGAAAGCACGTGAATCTTGCTGAATCACTTACAAGAAGGGATCCCCATTCTATTGATAGGCATCTCAAACATAGAAGCGTGCTCTTTTCTACAAGTGAAAAAGGTGAGGTATCTTGTGTCAGTGCAAATCATGATAAATATCACAGTGCTGGATCTACATACACAACAAACAACACAAATAATAACAACAAGAGTTAGGATTTAGAACAACAAAAGGAGCGCAGAAGGAGGATAAATTGAAGACACAACCAAAAAGAAACAAAAACCATGTGCTGTCCTTCATGTGGAGAAAGCAGCAACAGCACTTTGTTTACAATCAGAAATGAAAGCACAAACAATCACAACTAGAGGATTTACTAGAGCGTTAAAAGCAAACTCTGGAACTGTGAGGAAGACAGAAGCAGCAAGAAACATCCCTTTAGTAGTGGCATCAAGAAACATCCCTTTAGTAGTGGCATTAACATCGCAACCCTTGTCTTGTCTTTTTGACTGAGACTGAGACTTGATCCACAACAAACAACGGCAAGACTATTCAATAGGCTATTCAATAGTCGCCTGCAAAGCACGATTTGCTTCAGAGAGTTCTTGAACCTCAGCGCACAAAATATGGTTCATATATCGGATGCTCCCGATGGTACCGACCTCTTTGGGGCCACTTACACTGGTGCAAAAAGTATGTTCATGTCAACGTGAGTAGTTTCGGCCCACGGTTCAGAACCGTGGTTGCGACAATGTCAACGTGCTGTTTCTGGTCTACAATGAACGGCAGTGTTGTTGCGGTCTTGTTCAAAGGCACAGACCCAAAGACAGGAAAACCAAAAAAGACAAGAGTTTCTTGCCTGGTGGCCAGGCTTCTTCCCGTCACAAATGCATTCTTTTTGACGCCAAAGCCCACTCGTATTGTCCCTCAAGCGCCCTGATGTTGCTGAATGATTTGAAGTGGTTGCGGCAACATGGAAAGCACCATCCAAACGCTTGAGGTTGGCAGGGACTTTGTAGAATAATAACCATGTTCCAGGACCTTCAAAGTGACCTTTTGAGATCTCAGAATGAGGTCACTTAGACCCTAAAGAGGCCACTTAGAGACGCCAAAGAGGTCACATTGAAGGTCCTGGTTAGTTATTTGAGATTGCAGACCAGGAAAGCTCTCTTGGATCTGGTTGAAAGCGCACCATTTGATAGCATTTGTTTGAATTCACACATCCAACAAGAAAATACAAGAAACACTTCTGGATCCAAAAATGTATCAATCCATCATACGGATCCAAAGCTTCCTGCTGGCTTGGACCGGTCACACGGCCGACCTGTCATTTGACCACTTGTGCCACCACGAAAAAAGCCGAACGCTTCTTCCGTGTTGGAAAGGAGATCTTGCTCCGCGTGGGAAACAACACTGGGAAGCTCTGACCTGCAGGAGCCAGTACTGATTGCCTTATGTTCTATGCTATGGATAAGCCTCCAAGCACACATGGCACGAGACACAAAATGTCACCCGCACCACCTGCGTTTCCGCGGGGCGCAAGGTTTCATCATGCTCCTCATTGAGAGACATGGCCCAGCTGGGTGAAGAGATTCATTCTGCAATGCCGGGAGAACGTACCCGACCTTCCGAATCAAATGCACTGTGGCAGTACAAATGAAATGGAAGCTCACGCTTCGGGATCGTTTCAAAAACTAAGCTTGCAACCTGAACATGAAACCTAGCAGTCAGCAAATGAGGTTTCATTGGTGTCTATTGTCACTGCAGGTTTCTTGTGTCCAAATCGCAACTTGCGAGTTGCTCATCACGTCAAGGACTTGCCCAATCCAAACCTCCTAGTGAAGCGGACTAGACAAACTGCCACGAGTAACTGCTCTGCAATTGGTTCATGTGCCAATCAGGTGACCCACAAGCCACAGGCTAATCAATCAGTAAAGAACAATGATGCACCATGTCAGGAATGCCTGGACGTGCTGAAATATTGCAAGCTAAGACTCAGTGAAACAAGGAAATCATTTATTGGACGTTTTTGAGTATTGGCCATGCCGGCCCCAGGATGCAAATGGAAGTTGGCGAGAATCTTCTAAAAGCACCCTACATCACAGGTCGAAGATTGATGGGACGAGGACAAAACATCTCAACATCCTATTTGAGTTGCGATCACCACCCTTCAATCTTAGGACTCGATAGGTGTCAGTCAGCCGCCAACTTCCCCCACAATGTGCTACGCCATGTTGCACCAAATTAAAAATCTGCATGCCCCGCCGAATCCTAAAAACATAGGACCAGTTGAGACAAGTTATACTGATCTATTTGAGCAGCATCTTCATCAAGAAGCGCCTGGCAAAAAGTGTTTAACTATTACATTAAACAAGTCAACCATAGTAGAACAAGTTCAATGCACTCCTTCCTCGGCGTTTGCCGCACTTCTTTCTCAGTATCTAGAGGCATTGGGGTGCAACAATTGGGAAACTTCTGCATAAGCCTTGGCATCCGTTTGTTCCTGTGAATTTGTCAGCTGGGCCCATCTTGTACAAAGAGAAGCTCAAATACCTTCTTGGTCAATCCCTTGGAGCCTTGGACTCCGACTGACTTGGATCACGTTTGCTACTTCCTTCAGATTCACCATTTATTATCATGTAAGCACCCCTTGCAACATTGGACTGAAGTAAGCAACCCGATTGTGAGGGCGGGGGCACGATTTTCAAACAACCTTCCCACACCTCAACACTCTTGCTTTCTCTCCCAAGTTGATACAATTTGCTTCACACAACGATACACAAGTGAAATGTCGGCGCCACATCGAAAGGCTTTCGCTAGGCAAAATACCATGTCATAAGGACATTTCAATAGAGTCTATACACAGGTTGTTGATGCTGCTCAGTGGAATTGGGACGGCCCGTTGTGGTCCACTGAGATCTCACAAGCGAAACAAGATCTGCGACCGCGACTGTGCAGAATCGTCATTAAGCAACATTCCAGCGAAATGGTGAGCATCCCTTAGCAAGCTGCATCAACATCATTTAAATCACTCTCACATTTGAAGGAAGAAGTCGGGCCCATCATAAGTGGTTTATTACCTTTTCAAGCTCCACTTAATCAGGATATCTTGCAACGTCGGCAAGCTAGACATGAGGAGACTCTGTTCTCCAGCCCCTAAGCTGATCAATTGCAAAAACAAACCGCTGCAAATAGTCAGAAATAGCATATCTTCTCGTATACATTGCCCAAGCTAGGGCTTACCGCTGCTAGTTTGGTGGGGAAGCAACCTTGATGTCTTGTATGTTCTGCTGACTGCTGGAGATATCAAGTATACACAACTCCCGTAAATTCTGCCCACAACACATCCAACTGTTCCCTTCCAAGGATGAGACCTCATTATAGTACCTTTATGGACCAGAAAATACATGCAAACAAAGTTGCCCTTAAACCGAGTCTCGACCATCGGTAACACGCGCACTTCGTTCTATTGAAGTTCCTGGACTCTAAGACCCGCACATGATTTCTGGGGAACCCGGGAACCCCACCATACAACGCAAGACTTCTGCTTGAGCCAGCAAAAACAACCACTCAGACTACCACTTGGACTGGCCCATCCTTTCTACTCCCGCAATTCGAGTCGCTTCCCACTAGAAGCGCTTTCATTCAATCAACTCAAATACTGCCTCATATAATATACACGACAACAAATCATGTCCCTATACCCCCTCCCAGGAAGCCTGCCGACTGTGTGCAAACAAAGCACTCATACTCCACCACATAGTAGTCCACGAATCCGTTGTCGTCAAAATCATTTTCAGACACCTCAGCATGGACAAGCGATCAAACTCTGAAGAGCGCATCCTCAATTGCTCCGAAGAGCGCGGAACCTTTTTCTCAGGCGCGATTCTATGACTGCCTTAGAACCAGTGTCGTTGAAGCTTTTTTAAAGCGGTGCAATGGACGGATCGACTGGGCCTCCAACTGACTTTAGAATAGTATGAAACATGGCTCGAACCAACTACCAAATACCTACTACCTCGAACTCCATCAATAAATGAGTGGTTAGCAAGAGCTCCCAAAGTCGAGCTCATGACGTGACCCACATCTGCCGTTGTGTGCGGTGCTTTGCCCACCGCTGCAGGCTTGGCTTTTGCCTCGAAGTGATTTCGAAATCAGCCAAGGCAGGAAACAAGAGGCGGTGCACTGGGAACAAAACAAGGCCAGCATGCCTGCATCTCTTCACGAAAACACGCATATCACATTTCCGGAATAAGGCATGGTGCCCTTTTCAATGTGGAAACACAGGGATGAAGAACTTACATGAAGGGTGGAACAGCATGGTTTTGATTCCGTGACTTGGCAGATTCTATACCCTTCCTGTGCCAATCCTGCTCTGGGCCCGTGTTGGCCTTTGCTTCATTGAGCACGCTTAGTTCTATGAGTCTGTAGATACACGACAAAGGCCCACCTATATGTTCCTCTTTCGTACAAAGCACTCCTTCCAAAATGAGATGTTCCATGTCTTCGGCTTCATTTCACACTGGAAGCAATTGACTGAGGCTTTTTGATGGAGGCAGCGTGAATTTCTTCACATGGTCAATATGACATGCCTCTGCGCATTTGGACCCTATGGCCTTGGATTTTGCTTTTGGCACTTCCACAAGGATGTTGGTCGAGCCCGCTGCCGCCTGCTACAAATGCACAAATCGCATCAGTCCTTGGGTATAATAGTATATCATACAGTATATCCCATTTCCAGTAAAAGCGGATGATGATGGTTTGTAAAGACCTTTCACGCAAGTATTATTGATAATAGTTTACCAACTTTGACTGATGGGGACACACCGTAATCAGTCCACAAAGAATTAAAGGACAATAAGTTGAAGTAAAAATACCCAGTTACGTTACGGACTCATGCCTTGCAACCCTGCTTAGCAGGCCTGCATGATGGTCTATCCCTAAATCACTGCAACGATTGCATCATAGTGCATCCCCCAAGGCCATGGAACATTGAATATTCCAAGAACCGTGGGGCACTCGTAGAATAGTTAGTTAGTGTGCCCGAAGTACGTATCAAAACCCCACAAAGTTCATCAAAAGGTCAACAAATGTGGATCAACCAGGTTTGTCACTGAGGCAGCTCGTGTTCTTTTCTTTTGGACTGATCCCGAGAGTTGGAACTTTGACAACTGAGGGTCAATGGCGGATCTGTGTTCGGCTGACAAGCTGATCTAATGAATACAGGATTACCAGGTGCACAAGCCCGCTTTGACCTGCTTTCTTGACCCAATGTTTGCACACCCAAACCCCATGACTGGGCCTTTTTCGGCCGCAAAGTCCTCAATTCATCCCGCCGGTGTGCAAAGGTGCAGTTCTGACCTTGCCTGGCACACAGGTGCATTCAGACGCACAACTTGATACGGATCACATCAGACTTATTGATACGAGTAGGGACAAGGACGCTACTAGGGGAACAAGAACGCTACGAACGGGGCTCCTGGCCTTACTACTAGGAGCAAGGACGCTACGAACGGGGCTCCTGGCCTTACTACTATATAGGAGCAAGAAGCTACTGGGAACAAAGGGCATCGCTACGAACGGAGCAAGGACGCTAACGGGGCTCCTGGCATCGCTACGACCGTGGCTCCCGTGCTGTCGGGCTTGGGGAACACCGAGACCGCGTTCGACGCACTGCGCAAAGGACAAGAACCAGAGGTTGAGCAACTTGTGCAGTGAGTCTTACGGAGAAACCTCCAGTTGGAGCGGCTTACCCCCCATGTTAGCACAGCCAGTAGTTCCCATGTGGCCTTTCTGCACCTGCTCTTACCCATGGTCAAGAAGCTCAAATATGGCACTTCATTCGAGCAAGACCTATCCAATGGGGGCTAATCATGTTTGACTGTTGCAACGATGTGAAGCCAAAGAGTCCTATATGATCAAACATGCTACGCTTCATGTTCAGTGGCTCACAGGATCAAAGCTCAAAAGAAAGGCAACAGGATGATGCAAGCTTGCACTAATCCCAACACATGACTAGATTCGTACTGTATGTCGAAATACGTTCATAGTCTTTAGCAGCTCTCCTCTTGTCCAGTTGACTTTCATCATCCAAGGCACATACACTCCCCAGATTGAAATTTCTTGCAAAGCCTCATGTCGACATGGCATCTCTCTTTTCCCTGTTCCTCTCTCTCTCTCTCTCAAACCGGCTAGCAAGAGGGAAAACATCCTTACGCACCAGCCGACTCTGTTGCCCTTCCAACCCAACAAATACAGTAAACGCGGATGAACATGCATATGAGATATCATGACGTGAATCTATAGAGACTGAGCTGCTGCTTCCAAACCTATGGTCGGCACTCAAAGAGAAAATCACAACAAAAAATAGAAAAGGTCCGTTGAAGCCAAAATCCTGCAGAACTCCGCAAAAAATATCCCTCAAATACTACACAGCTAGCAGTTCCAGTTCTTGTGGAAAGTCTCGTTCACCTCAAACAATAGACGGAACAAGTTAACTGAGTGGACTTGGATGGACTTGGGCGGGCTTGAAATACCACAACCAGTCGTGTCGTCTTAACACACATCGATCGCATCGAGGTCCGCCTGCGAAACAAACGATACGATCATGTCGAGGCCCCCTTTGGCTCAGTGGAGCAGAAATGTCCACCGGGGAAACACTTCTGACGTCCGCAAATTGTGCCCTAGAAGCCAAAACTCTTGCGCAGATTCCCAAGGAAGCTTCTAGTTACTAGAAAGCTTTATTGTTCTAATTTGTAGCGGTGGCCTCCAACCTACTTGCCATGGCCTCCACCCAGTAGCAAATTGTGCCCTAAAAACCAAAACTCTTTCCATGCAGCCGAAACTCTTTGTCTTCGACAAGTTTGGGGTTTCACGCAATTCGGCCTGAAGGTTTGAGCAGTTCGGGAACAGTTTGTTCGGGGTGGTGGGATGTGGTCGCAACTTCTAAGGGCTTCTACGATTGAGTGGCTGGATCGAAGGTTGCATACGGACTCGCAAAGAACACAACTCCAGTGTAGCCAACTTAACTAAAATGCAAAATCAGGAAGGGTGGATCTTTGGTGCATTGTGATCTTCTGCGATGGCTGTGTGCAAACGACGGAATTGAAATTTAAAACATAAGAGATCTATGCAAAATGACATGCTAGATTTGACCAAATGGGCCAATGCCAATTGTCTAGGGTCGACTGTCACATCTGAGATGCTGCGAGCAACGGACCGCTGCACGGTGACCGCACCTCCCCGTGGGCGAATGCGCAATTAGCACCTCGCTTGCAACTCCCTCGGGCCCAGAAGGCACAAAGCCTCGCTCGACGAGGTTCGTCCTGTTGGGCACCGAGCGCGTGACTGTTGGGCACTACTGAGAAAAACACATAGCGGCAGCATACCGCATGCCCCCACGACCAAACGCAACCCCGGATTCGGATCGGAAGGATCCGTTGCCCAAAAGTGACCAAACAGAAAAGAACAAGGCCGAAGGCCTGTTGCAATTGACCTTTTTCTAAGGAGGCAATACGAGGCGCCCAGTTAATTAAGGGAGAAGTTCGATACTGGCTACTTAAGCTACTACAATAAGGACTCAGGATAGCTCACGCTTCGCACTATTCACCTATAGATTTGTGCGTATACAAGGGTTGACGGTTCACAACCTTTCCTTGCTCCGTCTTTGCTGCCAAGGCAACTGTGTACACCGAAAAACACGCTTTGTTGGCGTGTTGGAAGTGATCATCAAAGGGCCTGGACATCACTGGGGGACGAAGCAGTGAGATGCTCGCTGGATCAACGCCAAACCAGCGAAACCATCGATATGTTTGTCTTCGGCTGTTGGACCGTTGGATATGATCGACAGCATCCCTCATCGGAGTGAGCGGAGATAAATCCAAATCGAACATGACATATAATATGTACCGGACGCTCTTGGGAAATGAAACTGTCCACACTCTGGTGACAAATCTAGAGCTTCCGGATGATTGAGAGGAGCCACAGAACAGATATTCTTTGGCGGGTAATCACGGTGCAAGCTGGGAGATTTGGAAACTGATTCTCAAAATAGCAAGGCCCTTAACCCGGTTTCTTTTTGGGACGGTCCATCCATGCACAAGATCAAATCTTTATCCTTTTGAGCACACATAGTTCGAAGGTTTTGCCACTCGAACAGAAAAGCAAACAGAACATGGAACACACCCAGAGCATCTGTAAGTTTCCCATGCAAAACTGTGCTGTGTGGAAGCTCAACTTGTCATTATTGCTCAACCATTTGACGGCAACAGGCAACACGCGCAGCGGCTTCGTTTCTGCGGCGGAGATGCAGAAACGGCTCACAAGTCAGCGGGTTTCAACTCGCGAAAGAAAAATATGAGTCATGAGTCATTATATAGATTCAACATGATTCAATCATCCCAAGTGAAGGTTGAAAACATCTAGAACCATGACCCAGGCAACCTTTGCCACTTTGCTAGTCCACTTTGCTCAGGATGTAGATAGAGACCAGCCAGGGTTCGAGCTCTGTGCAGGGTTTCATCCTCTTCTTATGAAAGAATCACCCCGCCTGATACATCTGGCCAAAAACACATGAGTCGCGTCCTGACAACAAAAAAACACTTGAGCAAACAAACAAACCGACCGGTGATACCGGTGATACCAGTGGTACCGAACGGGTGACCGGTGGAATGGAAGGCCGAAACTCGCCTGCGAAGGCCGAGAGATCGGCTGCCTGACCGTTGCGCCCTGGGCATTGCGCTCGCCCAAGCTCGTCTGTGAAAGTCGTTTGAGAGAAGGGCAAGAAAAAAGGACGAGTTTCCCACCAGGGTGGATCCACCCGTTGGAACTGGGTCAAAACTGCCACCTGGGGTCTGGGAAGCTGTGGAAACCACTTAGGGTGCTTATGATGGTATAATGAGGCCGAAGGAGCACCGTTGTCTGTTCTCTCATCTTGAACCAAACGGCCGCAAGGAAGCGCTAGGGGTATCTCCGATCCCCGTGTGTCGCTGGTGATTCAATTGACTGGCCGGCATGTGATATATATATAATTATAAAGAATAGATTGGTCGGGCAACCGACATCGGTGCACCGACATCCGAGTGGCTAGCCACTCGGCTCTATGATGAAGACATGGCATGCCTCCGTTCCTCTGTCTTCAAATTTGGATCAAGCACCAAACATGAAATCTTCTTTCTACCGGCCATGTCCACAAGAGTCAATTCCCCAAAACACTGCCATGTCCAGGCCTAGACTCACTGGGCTTTGGGCAAGCTGCGGCTTTGAAAGCTCTCTACACTGCTCCACCTACACTCTTTCAAAGCATTCAAAGTCACATTGTTGATTTCATATCTACCATTGGTTAGATTGTCGACAAAGTGAGCAAATAGCTTGTCTTTGCCTTAAACCGGCCTCCTTCTCACCGAGCACTGCTGACTCCAGCTGTTGGAAACATCCACAGAGTGTGACAAAAACACCGCGTCTGGAATTTTCTTTATACACTGTTTTAGCATACGTCCTTTTCAAATCCCTTGTCAGATCCTGGCAAAGATTTCACCTTGTTTGACAGATTTCGTTTCGATTGGACTCTTTCCCACCTCGGCCGGTGCTGCGGCCAAACCTTGCAACTTGGCATCTACCTCCACCTGCGACGACTGGGAGGGGCTGAGGATGGCTGAGGGTTGGAAGACCGTCTCAGCAGCCTGAAGCACCCAGCAACATGGATAGCGGGGCGGAATCGCGGCCGTGGAAGAGGGACGAACACTGGGGCACACCGGGGCACTGGGCATGTGATTGGAGAGATGCACTCCCTGAAATCATCATGACCTTGGCATGGGTTTGCGGAGTTCACTACGTCATGGTCATGCTCTTCGGAATGGCTGGTCATCCAAAACCATGGCCATGCCATCCACGTTGGCATTCTTTCCAGGAGTGTATCTTGAAGCACCCTCAAACATCTCACACCGTCTGCCGAGCACTGGTGGATCCACATCCAATTGCTCAGTTCCTGGAAGGGAATTTCCAGCAAACAGAACAACCTCAGGCGTTTGAAGGGAGCGAAGGCCATCTTCGCGATTACTTTCAAACTTGTAGCTTATTGTAGCTGTGTCTCTTGTGAATCATGAATCATACGGCTTTTATCCACACAGGGCTTGTTGTCTCGTCAGTTCGTCCGAATGTACGTCTACCGAAGCGGCCAAGCGAAGCCAGCGCCTTCTTGCTCCCTTGTGCACCAAGTTCAGATGTAAGCTGATCAACTCGGACACTGGCCTAGAGATGTCTTTGCTTGCGAAAGTGACATAATCTGGAAAAAGTCTCACCTTCAGCATCTCAAATCCACGTGAATAAACAATCACACTACAAATCTTTGACCACAGCTAACCTTGCCAGCTTTCGACTTGCCACTTCTGAGAGAACTCTTTTTAGCTGACAGGATGGGGGGAATTCATCCTTTGCTACTTATCTTCAAGCGATTTTGGAAGGTATACAGTATACTCAAAAGCCTATGTTCAAGCGATTGAAAACTCTCATGAAATACGTATTTTTATGTTATATGTTTTTGACAGGCAGCAGGCATGTACTAACACCTATACTAACATACTATCATACATGTGGAAATAAGACCCTACGCACAGCTTGCGCTTCTCAGGTTTTTGCTTACGCCCAAGTTCCATATGACAAGGCCATTACTTGGCTTGTCTTGAGAGGTTTTCTGCTCATTTCTACAACCCTGCCCCAAAAAGATCAGCACGCTCTTCATACTAGTAGCTCTTCATTTCAAAACAAGCACTTTCTCTATGTCTGTAGCTGGCGACCCGATGATCATTTAGGCAAGGTGTTGGAACAAAGGACACAGAAATTCCTAATTCGCAGGCCTTGTTTCATAATCTAGCAATATGGTGGAAGACCTCACAACTCACAAATTCACAACCACAAATTCGACATGATGTAATGTTTTTGGAGAACTCACGCAGGTTTTCCTTGGCCAAAGCGCTCCTCTCTGCCCAAACCGGCCGCAACCGCGCCCCCAACGTCGCAGCTCTGGCTGCGGTTGTCCACGTCTCGCTGACAGGACTCCATGGATCGCACGTGAGAAGAAGTTCACACGCAATGACGCTCGCAGCATAATCGTACGCGAAGGACACACTTTGAAGAAAGGGTCGATCATGGTCGATCCAACATGTAACATATCCAACACGATCGTAGGTGCCAAGTACTTCGGTATACTTCAGAATACTTCAGATATCTTCAGATGTCTTCGGTATGTCAGCATATGTCAGCTATTCTTTGGAGCTGTCCTTTCTCCTCCGCTGAAGCTTCCCGGGCTCCTCCCAGTTGGAGAGATCCCAATGTGAAGGGGCCAATTCGCGTTCGCATTAGCCAGGCCACTTCCAAGCCGACCGCTTGGCACATCTTGCGCAACTGCCTGTTTCGACCTTCATGAATGATGAAGCGCAGTATGGCCTTGCCGCCTTCGGACCGCACCAAGGACACCGAGCATGGCCTCGTCTTGGGCGTCCTCCGCCCGATGCGGAGCCCCTCGGAGAGGCGACGCAGCTGCGAGTCGCCTGGGAGGGGCGTCACCCGCAAGAGGTACTCCTTCTCGCAGCTCTCGGGCCCCAACAAGGTGGCGCCCAGTTGATTGGAATCGGTCAACAAGAGAAGCCCCACACTCGCAGCGTCCAAACGACCGACCGGGCGGAGGGCGGGAACTGCAGAGAGATCGCTCCGAAAGGGTTCAGGCAGCGCGTCCTGAAGGGCTTTGAGGTGCAAGTCACTGGAAGTCACGTGCGTCCTGGAGCTTCGTAAAGAGGTCACCACACCAGGGGGCTTGTTGTAGAGAACCACACGTGGTGGACGGGAGACCCAGTCAGGAGGAGAAACTTCTCCGAAGCCATCCAGTTCCACCGTGTCAGCGTCATTGACCCTATGAAATGGATCCAAGACAGTTGCTCCATTCACCTTCAGCTTTCCTGCCCTGATCTTCCTTTCAGCTTCTCTGCGACTCAAAACTCCTGCCTTGCTGATGAAACGCTCCAGCTTCTCACGTTTTTGGAAGGAAAACATGAGGGTCAGTGACCATTGGGTCAGTGACCTAGGTTGGAGGCCATCGCTATTCGGTTGGAGGCCGCTTCTAGGTTGGAGGCGGGTCAGTGACGATCTCGCCTCATTTCCACGCTTGGAGACGAAGACGCCACACGAGTGGAGTGACCCTACAGGTGCGAAGCGAGTTGGAGGGCCCAGAGCCCGGTGTCCACCGCTTTCCAGACATGGAAGCATTTAGCTCCCACGCACGGTTCACTCAACCAAAGGCTTGAGCCAAGCATCCTGGCAGCATTCCTGAAAAAGAAGAATGAACAGCTCAACACATGCGGAAACGAGCTTTCCGGACTAGTTCGCTTCTACATCTGCCAACCCTAGAAGAAATGGCGAAGTCCTACATGCGCAAATAGAAATACCATCAAATGCCCTTCCCTAACCTTCTTCTTTTCCAACTCATCTTCCCCCCCCAGACCCCCGAGGCGCACCTGGGCCGCTTGGTCTGTGACCCGTTGCTCCTCCAACAGGAGTTGCTCCAAATGAGAACGGCCTGAAAGGCACCGAGACAGGTCGGGGCATTTGGGCATCCCAGTATGGGAGGCGTAGCGCGTGCGCATGCACATGCTGCGACGTAATGCATGCAAGCGAAAACCAAGGAGAATTTGACTTCACCAGACCATGCTTACTTCATTAGTCTGTATCATTCTGACTTTTTTCAATCTGTATTGTTCTGTATCTGCATTACAAACTATAACTATACTTGATTGGGTCCCTCTGATCCCCTTTGCCTTTCTCACAAGACTCAGAGATCTTTCGAAGCTCTTCACTTGCTGCGGTGGCACCTTCCCTGGCCTGCGATATTCATCGACGTCCACCAAAGGGCTGGAGAGTGAAGTTTGCACATGTTCCAAGAAACTGGAGCAAAGACAGGGTGGCCAGAAAAAAAACAACAACAACATCAACTTCACATCTGACCTGGCACCTGTGGTGGGTGGTGGGCACATTCAGATCTGTGTGCTCTTGGGCGTCATTGATGCACACAAATGAGTCTGCCACAATGCGACTTATGTCCACTAACCCATACTAACCCAAGTCATGTCAGTAAGTGATAAACAAAATCCCTGGCGACTAGCTCTAACAAGAGGCCTATTGGTGGGGAAGGTCTGGTCGGCCCTCTTCCTGTTTCAATAGATATTCTCCAATCCAGAACCCTCATGCCAAGTCAAATACTTGCCTCTTGATGTTCACGCTCCAGTCTTGCTCGAATCTGTGCAGCCTGAGCACTTTGGATTAGCACACACAGGCAAAAAGGTCGCAAACAACCTGTCTGTCTTGGTCAACACTGGAGTTGTATGGTGGCCCGATGTGGCCCGATTTGATATTTGAATAAACTTCTGTCAAACACCACCCAGTCCTCTTGAGCTTTCTCCAGTGCAGCATCCTGGGATCCGCTGGCAGCCTGGGGACAGCAACATCCGGCCAACTGAACCATTCTGAGAGCTACATAATCTACAGTTTCGATCTGCTTCGGGGAACCCAAAACACCAAATTTTGGTAGTCTTGGTAGAAATAACGCATCAAACAGTCAAGTTGAACCATGCAGTGGAACTGACAACCATTTGCATTTCGCGAACTGGGCAAAAAATATCAAGAAAATAAACAGCGCACTCTACTAGTAACAAGAAACTACTAGGTTGGAGGCCATCGCTATTAGGTTGGAGGCTATATTAGTAACAAGAAACTACTAGTGACATTCAAAACATTGCCGTGGGCGCTTGCGTAAACTCGCCTCAACTTCCAAGGCATGGAGTCGCGGCCGGAGCATGGATTCCAAGGTCGCCTGACGCTCCTGGTGCTGTAAACGATTCGGCGGACTGTTGACAAATATATATATATATATATACATATTAAATTTACAATATAACCCACCTCCCCCCAATTTGGATGGTGTGGTGAAACCTCTTCATACGAGGGGTGACATTCATCCAAACAGTCGACATTAAGTCAGGTGCAACAATGCAACATAATATGTGGGCTGTATAGGGCATGCGGTACATTCGTCGGGGCATTCCTCTTGCTGCAGCTCTCGGTGCGAGCTTTGGTGGTTTTGACGGACAACTTTCGGTGAATGCCGTGCATGTCCCAATATCCTTCCTGACGTGAACTTGAAACAAAATCAAAAAAAATTGACACCATCTGGGCCGGAGACGAAGTAAAACAAGTGGGTGAATGTTTAATTCTCACTCAAAGAAACCGCGACCGAACACGGAAAGCGGAACGCGCGCCCTTTTACGCAAAGGTCTCGGGCCACTGCGGGCGTACGTACATGGAGTGAAAACTTCCAACACTCCACCTTGAGCTGCCTGCGAAGTCAGCAGTCAGCTCACCTTTCCATGTACAACCGGACGTACCGGTCGAAGTCGTCGTCCCAGTCGCCTGCAAGGACAACCTTGCAAAAAGTGCCATAGTCATGGCGGTCATCCATCCCCCAATGCACGATGTGGTCAAATGCCATGTGGGGGAACGATCGGCTGTAGATGGAAGCCAATCTTGTCCTCATGAACTCCTTCAGCTGGCGCGTGGTGAAAAGTCCAGCCTGGAGTACTCGACGAGCTCGCTGCTCTTCCTCCCTCTTCATATATTTGAAGAGGTTCTCGAACTCCCACCAGTCCACATCAACCGGTGGAGAATCAAATGCAGACCGGTTGTTCGGGTCTTCTGCTGCCTCGTTGTAGCCTTCAGGACGTGGTGGATCATCCACATCCATGTAAGCAGGTGGTGCTGCATCATTCTCGAAGCTGGGATCTTCTCTCTCCGAAGCCGTTGGCTTGTAGTACCTGTGGTACCCGCTCACTGCATTGCCCATAAAGTATTCTTCTCCGCTGAAAGCATCCTCTTCACTTTGCAGTACTCGGTAGTCTGCCAACGTCCCAGTCATCGGGCCCCAATCTGTGATGATGTGACCCGCTGTCCTCTGTTGCATTTCAGTCTCACCACCCTGCTCATCCATCTCCTCATCGGGCTCCTCTTCATCTTCTTCCTGTACCTCTGTAGATTGCTCCACCTGTAGTGCATGCTCCACCTCTGGTGCCCGTTCTTCTTGTTGCCTCTCTTGCAATCCTTCTTCTGGCTGTTCTTCCTCTTCATCTGTCCTCTGCAGACCTGGAGGTAAATTTCTCGCCCTTCTCACAAGGTTCCATTCTCCTCGGTTTGCTGCAAGTCTTGCCCTCATGATCATGCCAATCTCTGCAAACTCATCCTGTTGCCTTTGAAATTCCATAGTCTCTTCTTGCCTCAAGAACCGGAGAAATGTTCTGAGGTACACTGAAAGCTTCACTCGGTACCTGTAGCCAACATACACGCCGTAGAGGAACACAAAGGTGGTGTAGACAACCAAAGCCTTGATGACAAACCACCAAGTGTAGGCCTCTGCTGGTACCTTCTCATCAGTCACCTCTGTCACCGGCTCTCCTCCAGCACTGTGCTGCAGCAAAAGCAATGTCACTGCTCTCACCACACTTGTAGGGATCTTCAACCCCCAACTGCTCTTCTCCTCAACCACCGTCTGAATCATTTGCTTCTTCACCTCCTTCATTTGCTTGGCCAACATCTTCTTCTCAAGTTCCTGACTGAAAGTCTCCTCACCGACTTTGGAAAAGATCTCATCTTTGCCCTCTGCATTCATCTCAGTGATGCCGATGAGGTACATCAGGAATTCACGGCGTTGCCCCGACAGCCTCTTGGTCCCAATGTCAGAGACATTGAGGAGAGTGGGGATTCCCTCCATGACCATTGTCTCTTTCTTCACCTCAAGCTGCATCCAGAGGTACTTGATGTCAATGTGCTTCAATCTGCCCACACCAAGCCGCTTGACCTGGATGGCCTCAGCAACTCCTCCGGCAGAAGCCAAAAACTCGGCCTCACAAGAACTCAAGGCAATCGACTTCTGTGAACGTGACCAGCTTGTGATCAAGCATCCATTCAGGAACATGAAGACCGAAGAAACACTGTGCCTCCTCTTGGCTGAACTGCTCTTGTCACCAGCCCAGTCGGAATCCGAGAACACCTCAAGGAAGTCTCTATCTTCTTCTTCTACCTGGCCCATGATCTCTGCCTTCTTGCTGCGAAACTTCAATTATGGAAGCAGCAAGCCATAGTTCTCTGTTCTTTTCAGGTAGAGGATCACGTGCTTGACTTCCACTTCTGCTCTTCTCGTTGGCTTAGCCATGGACTGGCTCAGATTCCGCACAGCATGCTGGATATCAACCCGGTCTTGGCTGATGTAGAGCAAGGTTCCGAGGGCAGAACGAAACTTGAACTGCTCATCACCTTCAAGCACCTCTTCGGGAGGTCCTTCCAAATTTTCCTGTGCGCTCTCCGGTGTTGCTTTTCCTGGCCTTCTCTCAAGCTGGTAAAGCTCCATCAAGCTTGGGGTGTACTTCTCATGGGGCATCGCAACCAAACCTTCCTTTGCAAAGAAGTGGCGCTTCTTCAAACACCTCACTGCTTCTTCTGCCAGCTGTCCATCAACTGGGAGCACGCCAGATTCGCTCAGCACGAACTTCTCCTTCATGACTCGTGACAGCCATTGCAAGTGCTCCACCTCTCCAGCAATCATCACGTCATCAACATGACAAACAGCTGCAAGTTCACGATGTTCATGTCGGAAGAGTGCAGGAAGGCTCAAATGATTTCTAAATCCCCAATCAAGCAAATGATCTGTCAAGAACTCAAACCACTTGGCCGCTGCATCTCGTTGACCTGGCAAGCATTTCGAAAGCTTCCAAAATCGACGTTCTCCTGGAGCCAAAGTCAACAGCTCTTCAGGTCGCCACCATGGCGGTTGTTCCACCAGTACTAGCCTGGTCTGACTGACCAGCAGGAAGGCGTCCTTGATGTCAGCGAACATGATCTTCCAACCCATCAAAACATGAGTTGACAAAAGAAGCCTGGTTGCACTCAGAGATGAGGTCGGTGCAAATGTTTTGGAGCTTGAAGCATCTCCTCCTCTGAACTCTCTGGCAACAAAACGACACCTTCTTTTCCATCTTTTCTCTCGAACACGCCAGTCATAGACTGACCTTGTAGTCAAGATGCTGCCTTCTTCAAGTTCTTCCGGAGTAGGATCTTCCAGCACCTTCATCTTCAAAAGCCTCTCGATCTCTTCTTGTCCTGCAGCTTCTTCTATGATCTTGAGTTCCTCAGGATTCACTTCTGGAGGATGTCCTTCGCATCCACGTCTTCCTCCAAATCCAGCGATGGCCACTCACCAGCCTCCTCAACTTCCGAATAGGACTCAAGCTCTTCTTCCCATCCTTCGTCATTCACTGGATACTCCACCTGACCAATTGATGCCACATTGATGTTGCCGGCATATTGTGGTGGATACAGATGGGATGGACTTCCTTCTGTTTGGGATCGAGCTGCCTTCGTCCTCGGTTCTTGAACTTCTGAATCATCAAGAAGAGTCTCTCTTTGTTTTGGAGTCATAGGAAGCTTCACTTTCGGTGTCATAGGCCGTCTTTCTCCCACTTCGTCATCATCCAGTCCAAGCGGCATGGGAGGAATGCAAATGTACTTATCGGCTGGCTCACCTTCAGCTCCTCCTTCTGGCCTCCTCTTCTCACCTTTCGGTTCTCCTCTGGGGCTCTCACCATCTCCATGCTCTCGAGCATACCTCTCTACATCATCTGCATCCTTATCTCTGAAGAACTGACCTTCTTCTTCTGGCTGAATTGCTGGTGTCTGCAGACCACTAGCTTGGCTCTTCTTTCCAGGTCCTCGTACTCCTTTGGGGATCATAGGTGTGGCTGGCATCAGCCTCATTGGCCTCCTCGTCTGTGGATTGCGGTACGGCGTTGTCTTGATCAAGAAGACATAGACAGGTCTCCAAGGCTCACTTGTCTGTCGAATGGCCTTACCTCTCAGCAATCCAGTAGTGCCAATCACCATGTGGAGATCATCTTCGCTGGTCTTGCCAACCCACACTCCTGGAAGCCATTGGGGTCCCTGCTTTGCACCAGGTTGCTTGTTCAGGACCATGACAAACTCCCCAAAGCACACAACCTTGCCAGTGTACCTTCTGCCAAAAGCAAGTTCAAAAGGAGCTGCTTGAATCGCTCGATGGGCTCCAAACCTGTTCAGCAGCCATGCAGCATGAAGATAGGACCATTGCCAGAGTGGATGCTCACTGGTCAAATTCAACTTGCACTTGTCCTGCAACATTTCCATCAATGTCGAGGCCTGTCTTCGAAGAGTTTGGATTGCTCGTTCAACTCGACTGGTTTGGCCCTTCTTCATACTGAAAGTGACGGTGGTCTCCAGTCCCAAACTGTGGCGCAAAGTCTTCACATACGTCAGCAGCGCCTTCATAGTTGGCTCACTGTCGCCAATCACCTCCACATTTCCATAGTTGAGAGACAAGGAAAACCTCACCACATGCTCTGCCTGATTGTGCAAATCAGAGCCTTTGCCTTCCACTCGAACACACAACAGCATTCGAGTTTCAGCATCCACACCTGTCAATGAAGTCACCAACTCGATGTTCTTGTTGACTTCGTCAGCACGAGACTTGCCAAAAGCATAATCCAGTTGGATTGCAGGAATGGACCTTCTGCCTTCTTCTGAGTGGTCAAGAACTCTCTGAGGGTCCACACGGCTTTTGCAAGCAACACAAAAGTCGCACCACTGCTGGAATGGAATGTGTGTCAGCTCATGCAACTCTCTTTCTTCTGTGCTCGGTTGTCGGGGAGCACGTACAGGAACAAGCCCTTGATGTCGATGTTGTTCTCTGAACAGCCTGTTTGCTGCTGTGAAAAGCTCTTTGTTCTCCATCTTTTGGACTTCTTG